CATTGAGCTCCCCATGTCTTTTGATTAGAGCATTGAATACATTTAAAGCGATTATTGATAGATATGTGGTTATCCCCATCTACTGTTTTCTGTAGTTCTTTTCTCTTGCTTTCTCATTCTTATTCTCATGCTCTCTTCTTTTGTATGTTCATGACTTCCCAAGTGTTGTGTTTGGACTTCTTTCTTGTGAATCATTTGTAAATTTTAGTTTGTGCCTCATTTAGACCAACATATTTATAGATGTCTATTTTAAAATCACTACAAGTTTTACTCACCCCTACACTTTTGTTTTCATCATGATTTTTTTTTACTTTTTTGATGTGTGTTTTCATTTGTCTATTCATTTATTGTTGTAAATTTACATAGTTTTTCTACTTTTGCCTTTAATCTTTGTTTTAGCGTTATAGTTAGTTGATCTACTGCTTTTATTATTTGCTTTTTAAGTGAAATTTTTTTCTTTCCTAGATTCTTACTCATATTTTTTATCTTTTATTTTCTTAAAGAAGTCCCTTTATCATTTCTTGCAATACTGGTTTAGTGGTGATGGACTCCTTTGTCTTTTACTTTTCTGGTAAGCTCTTCATCTCTCCTTCAACTCTAAATGAGAGCCTGGCTGGGTAGAGTGACCTTGGTTCTAGGTCTTTGCCTTTCATCGCTGAATATTTTATGACCAGGGGTCCTCAAACTTTTTAAGCAGGGGGCCAGTTCACTGTCCCTCAGACCATTGGAGGGCTGGACTATAGTTTAAAAAAAACTATGAACAAATTCCTATGCACACTGCACATATCTTATTTTGAAGTAAAAAAACAAAATGGGAACAAATACAATATTTGTATTTGCATGTGGCCCGCGGGCCATAGTTTGAGGACCCTTGTTTATGACAATCCTTTGGGGCCTACAAAGTTTCTGTTGGGAAATCAGCAGATATTCTATGGGAGCTCCCTTGCACACGACTGACTGTTTATCTCTTGCTGCTTTTAAGTTTTCCTTGGTCTTTAGCTGTTGGCATTTTAATTACGTGTCTTGGTGTGGGCCTCTTTGGGTCCATCTTGTTTGACACTGTCTTGCTTCCTGGACTTGTAAGAATGTTTGCTTTGCCAGGTTAAGGTTTCCAGTTATTAGATCTTCAAATAGGTTTTCAATCCCTTGCTCTCTTTCTTCTCTTTCTGGTACCCCATGATGCAAATTTTGGTACTTTTGATGGTATCCCAGAGGTCCTTTCAACTACCTTAATTTTTAAAACTTCTCTTTTATTTTTGCTGTTCTGATTTGGTGTTTTATGCTGCCTTGTCTTCCAAATCATTGATTTAATCTGCTTCATGTAATCTGTTGTTCACGCCCTCTAAGGCAGCGGTTCTCAACCTGTGGGTCGCGACCCCTTTGGCGGTCAAATGACCCTTTCACAGGGGCCGCCTAAGACCATCCTGCACGTCAGATATTTACATTACAATTCATAACAGTAACAACATTACAGTTATGAAGTAGCAACGAAAATAATTTTATGGTTGGGTCACAACATGAGGAACTGTATTTAAAAGGCCAGAAGGTTGAGAACCACTACAAGTCTAAGGTATTCTTCATTTCAGTTATTGTATTTTTCATTCCAGACTGGTTCTTTTTTCATGGTTTTTCTCTCTTTGTTGAAGTTTCCATTTGAGATTTCTTATTCTTTCCTTAAGTTAATTGATCATACAACCAGTTTTTGAGTTATGTTTCTGGTAGATTGCTTGACTCCTTCACATTTAGTGTGTTGTTTTTTGTTTTGTTTTGTTGCTTTTTTTTTCTGGAGTTTTACTCTCTTCTTTAATTTGGGACATGTTTATTTGTCTCCTCATTTTGGCTGCCTCCCTGTTTGTTTCTATATTTTGGGTAGATCTGCTACATCTCCCAGTCTCCACAGAGTGGCCTTATGTAGTAGGTGTCCTGTGGATGCCAGCAGCACATTCTCCCTGATTACCTGAGCCAGGGGTTCCAGAGTTGTCCCTTGTGTGTATTCTCCTGCTGTAGTTGAGCCTTGATTACTGTTAATATAACAGTGGGTGGGATTGACTCTCATGCTGACTAGCTGTGAGGGCTGGCTAAGATGACAGTGGACAAGCTGTCCTTTTTGTTTGAGGATAACCCCTTGGAGATGGATTTGCTATAGCAGGGTACTGATGCCTGCTGAGTTTATACTTGGGTGTGTCATTTTTGGAGCTGGTTGCGTGGTGCTCTGAAGCTGGACATGAGGGGTGTTGGTTCTGCCCTTCCTTGATACAGGCCAAGATCAGCCTTGGCATGTGCCCACCCTGGGGCCATGTGGGAGCAGCTAAAAAGTGATCTGCAGTTGGTCACCACCTGTGCTGGGTTTGGAGGTGCCATATGTGAACAAAGGCAGGCTGCCACTAGAGTAATATTAAGTCAGCTTCACAAGAAGTACACTGTGTGCCAAGGCTAGCTGTAGCTTGTTTGGACCTTTGAGAGATTTTAGGAAAGTCAGCAGCAGAAGCTGAGACAGTCTGTTTGTGTGGAAAATCCACTGAAAGAGGTTCAGGCCAGTTTCAATGTGGCTTCTTTAGTTATAGGACTTCTGTTCAGCTAGTCTGCAGATGATTCATTTCTAATGCTGGTTCTTCTATAATTTAGTTGCAATTTTGATGTGGTCATGGGTGATGTGAGCACAGTATTTACCTACTCTGACCCAAATTCCCCAGGAGACTCTTCTTTAGAGCAGTGGTTCTCAACCTTCCTAATGCCACGACCCTTTAATACAGTTCCTCATGTTGTGGTGACCCCCAACCATAAAATTATTTTTGTTTCTACTTCATAACTGTAATTTTGCTACTGTTATGAATTGTAATGTAAATATCTGATATGCAGGATGTATTTTCATTGTTACAAATTGAACATAATTAAAGCATAGTGATTAATCACAAAACAATATGTAATTATATATGTGTTTTCCGATGGTCTTAGGCGACCCCTGTGAAAGGGTCATTCGACCCCCAAAGGAGTTGCTACCCACAGGTTGAGAACTGCTGCTTTAGAGTTCTTGTTCCCTATATTCATTAAAAGTGCATTTTATTTTTATACATATCTCACCTCAATTTTGTTATCAGAAAAGCTATGATCACCTTACTCACCATAAATTAGGACCCAGAAATGCTGCCACATAGGCCACCACCAGTCATCTCTACTAGTAATCCATCATGCAACCTGGCTGTGAGAGATCATTGACTGAAGGTCACATTTTAAAGTGACCTCTTCCACAGTCATTTGCATCTTAGCAAAATATAAAGCCATTCAGCCAGAAAAGTGAGCTCATTCTAAACTGACAGGCAAGCTGCTAGCAGTTCTCAGCACAGTTGAATTTAAGCCACAACGACTCATCGTCAGGCCAGTGGAGATTAAATAGTTTGATGAAAGCCAGAAACTGTCTGTTGTTTAGGCTGACCCTCTGGAAGTGGGGGCACCGCTCTCAAAGTTCAGCCGAGTAAAAGCCCATTTACCAAGTTGTTCTGAACAAGGCGGAATGGATGTCATTATCTGGAGTAACTTCCAGGTACTATGTCTGGATTAACTACGAACTCACCTAGTGGCCATCCCCATTAATTACCTCATAGATCTTTATTGCCAGGGGAGGTGGAACATCAGCAATATTTCAAAAACTTTGAACACTAATGGTAGAGATACACAGTAGTTTCTGAATAAAGTGGTTCTTAAGAAGACTATTTTTCTATATTTTCTCAAAAGCATTTCCAAAATGTATTATAGATTGCTTTCGTCTAAAGTACACACCTAAAGACCTGGCATATTATAGCAGTTGTTTTGTTTTAAGCCTTTTATTTTGGGAAGAAAATATAAAATCCTTAAAACTGTTCTCCTCTGTTTGAATTCTTTAGGCAACTCATAGATTAGGGCATATGCTATGTGTTTTGATATCTCAGGGCATATGCTATGTGTTGTGATATCAATTAGATCTTTTCCCAGGCCTGTACCTTAATTTACTTGGAAATCAAGAAGCTCTAAAATAAGTGAAAGCAGTAAACACTGCATTCTGTCTAAAGACATTTTAGGATTACTTAAGAAAAAGGAACTATGGAGACTGGACAGAGCATATGCTCTGGGGTTGGGCAAACCCAGAGCAGATTTTACCAGGCTGATGACCTCAGGTGTATTAGTTAACTTTCCTGAGGATCATTTACTCTCTTTCAAATGATAGCAACATCTCATTAGATTATTGTGAGGACTGACCAAGGCAATCTATTTACTTTGTTTGACATATAAATATTAGACATTTTCCTGACATTTGTCTCTAAAATTAATGAGCAATACATTATTTGTTGTACTTATCTACTCATTTATTCATCCACTTATTCCTTTGTTCAATACACATTTATCAAACTTGTGCTCTGAAAAATATGTCAATAAAGTATAGTAATTATAACTCTTCTCCTCCTTCCCACAAAGTCCTTGAGGGTTTGGTAGAGGAGGAAGATGCTTATACAAATAACTCCAATACCAGTGAGGGGTAAATGTCACAGCAGGGAGGCATGGCGAGTCATTCCAGATGAATGGGATATAAGGAGTAAACCATCGAAGCATAAGCCTCCTTTTGAAATTAGAAAGTTCCATCCTAAGTTGTTTTTTTTAATATAAAATGTTAAGAACTAGAATTATTTAGAGTAATGGTTGTCAGCTTTGGTTGCATATTAGAATTACCTGAGATACTTTAAAAGATCTAGATGGCCTGGCCACACATAAGACTAATTAAAATAAGAAATCTCTGGGGCTGGAACCCGAGTATCAGTCCCTTGGAGTGGCGGGAGATGCCAGTGAAAACAGCTGCCAAGCTGAAAGCTACTGATAAAAATTAAAAGAACGTTATTTCAAATGAGAATAATAAAGATAATGGTCTCCCACTCAATTTTACTGTTGGTGATGATTTTGTCGGGTAAATGATCCTGACATTTTTCCTCAGTATAACGTGCTACCCATATAAACTAATAATTAGTACTTACCAAACAAGGTAGGAAGTAAATACTAGGAAAATCATGATAAGAAAACCACCACCTGAAACACCATAAACCCAGATTTTTACTCGGCCATCTGTTTAAAATAGAGATAAAATAACAAGCTTAGCATACAACATTTTTATTTCTCATCTGAATTTCTGAGTCTTGCACAAGTCATAAACCAAAACACCCAATTGTGACACCTATCAAATGTTAGATCATCTATCAAAAATTTCACAGTGCCAAAGAAACACTGGCAATCATTACGTCATAAAATCTAACAACTGGTAAACTATTTTGAATTTATTTTCATGTGTGTGCTGTCTTATACATGTAATACATCTTGACTACATAAATAGGCCAAGAAAATAAATTGTCAGTTTATTTATTAAGAAACAATCTGCATGCAAAGAGAATTACTATGCCTATTTTTGTTGACTTTGCTTCCTGAATAATGAGTGAACAAAAACGTTATGACCAAGCAAGCTAATCTATTTACCAAATTATTATAAAATTATAGCCATATGTGTACAAATATGCATTGTTTTGGATTTGATTATTTGCTAAAGTTAAAGAAAAATAGATTAACCAAATAGTCCGATCATTGGAACTCTATCTCATTTTACTAAGAGATAACTCTGACTTGATCGTGTGCATGTTTTTCTATGAATAATAGATATTTGACTTGTATCTGGAACTCTAAAATTTTATGTGAGCATAGAGTTAACTAAAGTCAGAATTGGACTGGCAAAGGAACTGTATTCCTTTCTGAAAGATATTCACACACAGACAGGGTTGTTATATTAGATGAATGTAATTAACTGCAGGATTAAAAAATACTTTAACATCTAATTCTAAATGTTTCTGTAGGATAAAAAACAATAAAAATTTGTTGAAAATACTTCTTTAGAATAAAATCATAATATGTTCAATTATATGACCATCTATAGTAATTTTTGACACTTTCAAGCATCAATCTGGTTTTAGGATGAGGTTTCAATGCTATTTTTCTATGGCCGAAAATCTTTTTACAAAGCTTTGATTCTGATCTCTTTGAAACACTAATGATGAAATCCCCCAGTCTGAGTTTTTTACAATGACAATTTACAAAGCCTTCCCTGAGTGAGAATGCTCCTTTAATCTTACTACCCCTAAGCCTAAGGGAGTTGAAGTATTAGGAGAATCCAATGCTTTTAAATCCCCAGTGCAGAGGTATGTGGTCCATGGCCTTTAAAGGCATATTCCTTAAAAAAGAATTAATATAATTTTTATAATAACATAATGGATAGGGCCAAATTTCAAACTATTAAAAGATGTGTAGTGAAAAATAAGTCTTCCTGCCCCTCTCTCTCAGTTTCCGACCCAAGCGCTATCACTGTTACCAGTTTCCTTGGGAATCATTTCACAGTTGTTTCTACATATACACATTTTTTAAAAAAGACACAAATTATATATCATTCTTTTATGATTTGCACATATTTTCATTCTATTTCATAAACCTATTTCATTCTTTTTAATATGACATATTGCTTAATTGTATTTTTCTCATTTATCCTATTTACACATATTTATGTTGTTTCCACTCATTTGCTATATAACAAGCAATCGTGTAATGGGTAGCATTTACATACTTATTTGGTATAAGTATATATATTTGTATGATGAGTTGCTAGGAGAGAAATTTTCAGTCACAATGCATGATCTGTATTGCCAGATGCCCTCCTACAGGTTGATCCAATTTACATTCTCATCGTGAAGACCTCTTTTCCAAAACTAAATATATATAACATATATACTTATATACATACACATAGACACACATGTGTATTTGCATATATCTTATTGATGCTTTCCTTTGACTCCTCAAAGGTTAAGGACCTGACTTGTGGATTTGAAGACTCATTTCCCTGGAACCTCACCCTCATTCTCTTCTGAAATATGGTCTACAAACAACAGGTGAATCTGGCTACCTTTCATTGCTTGTATCCTTCAAAGAACTTAGTCACAATGTGAATAAGATTTTAAAAAAACACACATTTATGGCATGCCCAGACATCTAGGGGAATCAAATTGAGTTAAGATATTGTAATCATCCTTAAAAATTGGTTGAGGAATACACATCTTGTTTCTGCCACCAGATCTAGGGGTTATTGGGGCTGGGCTCTGGTTTTTGCTTCATTTAAGCACATCATAATTGAGCTTTGTCTGTTTTTTTCTTCTCCCTGCCCCATCAGCTATGCCACTTTGCTCAGTCATTAGCAACATTTTGTTTCTTAGAAGAGGCATGTGTGGTAGGCAGAGTATCCTGCGTTCATTTTCTGCTCACTTTACAAGGTGGGAAGCAGAGACCAGTGCTATGTAAAGGCCTTAAGGACCTGCCTTTCAAACCTGGCTGTCACTTCCTAGTGGTGTGACTTTGGTAAAATCAATGTGTGTGGGCAGTTTTAGACTCCTAATCTCTAAAATGTGAATAATAGCATCTCATTAGATTGCAAGAACATAATGAGAAGATTCATGCAATATAGGAAGCACAGACCCACAGGATACATGGAAGCATCTAATAACTTTTCATTCCTGTTCTTAGTAACCACCGATTCCTGAGCTCTGCAGGCCTGACACTGTGCTTCTACCCACAACAGTCCTACAGGGTAGGTGCCTCTAGATGGATCTCAGCAATGAAGAAACAGGTCCATAGAGGAGAAGAAATTATACTCAAAACAGGCACATTCTGAGCCATGACAGCAACAAGGTCTGTCTGCCTTTGACCACTGCCTTTGCTTCTCTAGTGTTGCCCAAGCCAGATAAGGTCCTTGGACATTTCCTAAGGCATTTGCATGTTCTGGAGAATCTATTCCACCTTTTTATTTTAATTTAAATTATATACACAAATTCACAGTTGTAGAAGCATATACTATTGCAGAGAGAGTTTATAATGGAAAAATATTTTTCAAGGTTAATATTTTGGTTATTTCATTATCTGTTAGACTGAAGTTGGCAGACTTATCCTCAACAATCTATGAAAATTTTTACATTTAAAAGAGATTGTGCATTATACATCCAATGTCCCAATTTGGGAAACCTTGCATGAGACCATATTGCCTTTTCCTCCATTCAGTCATGAATATTGGTCACAACATAAACCCTAATCTCCCACAAGAAAACTTACATTTCTTAACACATAACTGAAATGTACCTGGATCCAGGGGCTGAATAGACCATCCTTTAAAAATATCATGTATTTTTGAATTCACAGGTCTGTTCTTCCCAGCAAGGTTTTTCACATGAGCTTTTCTATCCTCTGAGCCAGGGACTTTCATGCAGTAATCCAGAAAACCATTCGATCTCATTATCTCCGTATAACCCTTCTCACAACCACACACTCCGCCCTACAGCAGAAAAGATATTTTTATGATTACTCGTTGAGTTGTGTAGACAAAAAATAACAAGTGCTGAAATCAGTTGATATTTGCATATGTCATGGCAATTTCTGTGTTTTTTTTCAGCAACAGTCTTGCCAAAGAGATGAAAATCCAATAATTCATCTTTCTGAATTTCAAAGTCAACCCTTAAATAAATCATCAGCTTTTTTCTAGTGGTTTACAATTCTGACACCTTGCAAATATGAAATCACAATTATTTGTCAAGGGAGGGTATTAACTACACCCTTTTCTCTCTTGTGGAGATGTTTAAGGCATTTAATCAAAATGTCCTCAACTCTTCCCCCATCCCCAGCTGTTTAGATTCCTGCCCACTCACTTAACCTGTCCTTGATACTGAGAAGCAAAGCAATAGGAATTATGCGCATATCTTCTTAGAGTTATGTGCTCCTGGAGCTCTGTTGCTGCCCCAGCTGCCGGATGTCTCTCTCACCTGCTACCCTTGATCAATAACTGGTCTGAACTACCTCCCTGCTTGTAGGCTTGGCTCTGCCCTCAAGGAGGGCAGCCCAAGGGGAGAAAAACACAAAGGCACATGTGTGTGAGAAGAAACCTGTTTCAGGAACATGACATAACTTTAAAAATTATATGTGCACTGCACATTTTTCCATAATTCCTGAGCAGTGGTAGATGGGAGAATGATTTCTGCTTTAAAATATATATACACGTTCATATATATGTGTGTGTGTGTGTGTGTGTGTGTATGAATGTGCACACACATACTTTTTATTCATAGGCATTTAACTTATTTAAAATGAACTAAAAATTTACACTATACTATTTATAGTGTAATCAATTTAACATTGAGCACATACAAACATGCATTTATAATAACTTTCAAAATAATGTAGGTAGATGAAAGGCTAAGAATCAAGAAATAAATCAATGGAGAACAATTATTGGTAAATAGAGCTAATATAAATTAGATATCTGAAAAACAGATTTCCCTATAGGCAGATTTATAGAAAAAGACTGCCTGCAAAGAGTTTCTTAATCACTGTGACTACTCCAGCAAATGCCTCTAGATGGTATCGTGGGCACATGGAGCTGCTGCTCGCTCCGGTGACTGGGAGGCATCCGGCCGCATGTGTGCAACACAGCAGTGGAAGCCCCGGTGGGCGCCTCCCGCAAGGACTCACCTGCGTGCAGTAGGAGAAAGGCTTTCTGCAGGCTGGACTGCACTGTCGAATCGCCGCAGGCCGTGCCTGCGGGGAGCAGCCTCCTACAAAGGAAATCCTGTCATCATTTGCAGATTTTTCTATGATAAACATTAAAAAACAGTTTTGCTCTCTCTGGCACTGGCCACTTTGTAACAGTAGTATTATTATTTTTTAAATCCGTTTGCTGACATGTGTCCCAGTCTTACTTTATTGATTACTCCAGGATGGATGGATAGAAATGGGAGGCTCTGCTCACAGAAGCTATTTATAGATTTTTTATACCTGCTGCTGGCGGTATGATTCCATCTTATGGCTATGCTTGAGGGTGACGTCTATGAGTGCCAGCATCAGTAAGAGAATCGGGGACATCTCAATTTAAGTTCAGGAGCATAAAATGTATCAGCTCGAGACTTATTCTACATATATTTTCCTTCAGTTCTGGAGGACCCCACCTAGGCACTGGGCCAGTTCCCAACAACCACATGCTAAAAGAAAGCCACTAATCAATGTATGCACCAGAATATCAAACACTTTGGCAACATTTTAAAACATATTTCAGGATATGCATACCCTTTGACTTCCCTCCCCCTCACACACACACCCTCTGACCCCCACACTTATTTTCAAGAGCAAATGTAGAGGCACCAGGAAGGGAAATCATACATATGATCTAGTATGTATAGTACTTGGCACAGTAATTGCATATTTGTAAAAGGATAGAATAACACATGCTTCTATAATCTGGAAATCACTCACATACTAGTCTTGCCTTCTTGGATTCCATGTACTAAGCAAAGAAGGTGCATAATATTTGAGGGCAGTATTTAAACCTTATTTATACTATTGCTTGCATTTATAGACTGTAGCCTTTACCTTACTATAATTGTTAACCAGTTATAGTTTGATTTTGTAACTAGTAAAAGCTTTGGGCATAAGGCAGTGTAGAGAACAGTCAGAGCACTTTCCCTGAGAATGAAGCAGATAAATTCTCACTGTTACTTGGAAAAGAAAATAATCCACACAAAAATTAAAAGACAACCAAACTCCAGAATTAGCACTTTGGTGTGGTTATTAATTGGGGCATTAGCGGCAATAACCACACAGTCCTGTTGCTACCAATTGAGTTTGGAGGGGGTGTTGTCCACTCTTTAAAGCAGCAATGTCCAAAGTGCAGTGTGTGGGCCCCTGTAGGAGGGCATCGCTAGGGAAGAAAATGTTGGAATTTATCTAGTTTATATAACACTTTTAAGAATGAAATTAAGCTCCAATAACACTTAGCAGATGACGCTAGTAAGCTGACTCATGCATCAGGTGTCCACGTGTGCTCTGTGCGGAGAATTTGTAGTGTGACGGCACCACTTTAACTCTCAGCATATTGCAGAGTGTGTGATGCTTTCTGTGTTCCTGGTAAGGCTGATTTACAATATATTTAGTTTTAATAACTGATGAAATGTATAAGTATCTTAAAATAAATTAGTGTATGAATAAACTATGGATTAAAGGAAATACCAACGATGCAAAAACACACGTACAAGGAAAAGACAGAGCTGCCCCTCCTATTCCTACAGAAGAATAGACATTCTCCCTAGAATAAGTTCTTTGCCATCTCAGTACTAAGTAAAAATAATGGCAATTTACTCTGATAAGAAGGCATAAAAATTCTTTAAAATTATTGAGAAGACTAGATCAAATTGTATCCATAACCATGAATGAGGAACACTTCCTCCATCTAAATTTATATATTAAATAGTAACATGGAAAAGACTGTAAAATCTCAGAGGGAAGGAGGGGTAGGTGAGAGGGAAGAGATCAACCAAAGAACTTGTATGCATATATGCAAACCCCATGGACACAGACAACTGTGTAATGGGGGGCAGGAGGCAGGTGTGGGCTAGAAGGGATCAAATGGGGAAAAAAGGGGACATCTCTAATACTTTCAACAATAAAAATTTTAAAAATAGTAATCATAACTAGCACAATCTTTAAAAACTAAGCTTCCAGCGAGTTAATATATGCATCTATAATTTGTAGCAAATTTTTGTACCATTAGCAAATATGATATTTTAAATTTTATATGTCCTAATATACTCTTTTAATTTAAATTTCTGTACATTTTATAATATATAAGCATATGATATGATTTATAAACATGATATGTTGAGATAAGTCCTCAAAAACTTTTTACTAAGAAGGTACATGATTTAAAATTTTAGAGACAATTTTAAGTTGGCATCTGTCTTTTCCAGTCTTTCTCAGATAATAATATTTGAGAGAAAATTATTGTGTTTCAGCTTATTGCTTTAAGTTGTCTGATATATTATGATGGGTCTTCAAATAGAATTGTTTGCTTTCTGAGATGCAAAGGTCTAATGACAACTGGACAAGAAGATAATCAAAGGCTGTCTGTTCAGTGTTACCTGGCTTATAATTTGTAAGCGAATTCTCTTCACAAACAGCAACACTCAGAGATCTTTAGGAAGCACCCACATGAATCTGAGGTAGGAATACCTGTGACATTAACGCCATCTGAACGTTGGCACCATACGGTTCGTTCATTATTATTCCAAAGACTTGCTTTCCAGGTGTAGTGATAGCATTTGCCTCCTGCAAGCAGATATGACAACAGCGGTTCCATTATCCCCGACGTAAGAAAAGAATAAGCTTCAGCAATCAAAGCTGAGAATTGAAAAGTGCTCTTGGTACCTGTACAAGGACGTGTTTCTAGAACCTGCTGGGGGCAGCTGTCTTGGTTTTCAAAAGACTGAATTATAAATGTCCTTGACCTAGATTGGCGGCCCATGGTCTCGAAGCTTCTTCCATCGATGCAGGTTAATTCACACGTGCTCCACTCCGACCAGCCCGTGAGATGACAGTCTCCTGGATGGGTGTGCAGTACAGAGCGGGGGCAACAGCATGGGAACTGGCACTTGACAGCATTTACATACACAGGGTTCACAGGAGATTGTTGGTGGTGCAGTGATAGGGGTGAGTTCCGTAGGCCAGACATTCTACTTTGACGAATTTTCTAATTAGAACGTACTCAGAATGATGAAGTAATTGATGGTTTAGTCTATTTTAGAAAGATAATGCCAAAACTAGATTGGCATTGCTTTGCTTCAAATCATAGTCATATCTAGAGAACACTACACATCTGCTAGTGATACAAATTTTTTAAAAAGGGAGATGTAGAGGTTAAAGTAACTAACTTTTCAAAGAGCAGCATAGCCTTATAAAATTGAGGTTCACCGAAACCATAAAAAGATCATAAGCTGGTTATTAAAGTGGAATATCTTTGGACCTAAAGAATGTCACATAAACTAAACATACACACACATTTATGTGTATTTACATTTATGTGTATATGTGTACAAAAGCATATGTGTTTATATACATGCACATGTATTTTACATGTCATACTATGAGGGTATATTAAGCCACCTTAAACTTATGCCATATATCCTAAGTTATTAGAATTAAAATAAACTCATACATTTTATGCAACTAATAATGGCCTTCATGGTTACATAGAACGTGACTGTGACAGAATGCTTTCATAGACATGTAGCCTTATTTGTCCCCACCACGCCATCTCCCTGAGGTTCATCTACTCATGGATTTGGTCAATAGTTTTGGAATAATGGCAATGTGCTGTCAGGTCAGGTATTGTTAACACATTTTCTAGATGGAGCAACCATTGCTCAAAGGTGAGACCATATGTCCCAGGGAAAACACCAGGGAAGTGATAGAGACAAGATTCCAACTTAGCTCTTAAATTTCCAAGTCCAGGGTTTTTTCCCCTCTTGCCTCCATTGCCAGCATATTCCAAAAGTTATAACCAAAATTAAAAATTAATTAAAGTTAATAAAAACTCTCAGTTTTGACTAGATAGAGCTTCCTCAGAAAAAAAAAAATAACCTAATAGAAAATAAATAAGGTCATCATGGAGGGCACTCCCCATTGTCTGAGGCTGCTTACCTGGGCAGGGCACAGAACACAGCTGCTGCAAGCTGCCGTCCTGCCAGGGCACTTCTTTACACTGGGCATCATCCACACGTACAGCGGAGCTAGCGACCGAGCCATTGTGGACCACACAGGAGAGGCCGCGGACCTGGACTCCCTCCCCGCAGTCTCCACCCTGGGAGAGGAAAGGATACTGTCAGGATCACCCAAATAATTAGCTCGGTTTTGGCTCATGCTACCTCTTGCTAAAAGAAAAAACAACAACAAAAAGGTAAACCCTAGTTGTATATTTCAGCAACTTCCTCCTCCTCAGAGTTCTCTTTCAATTCTTGACAAAGCATCACTAAACAATTCTTTGAGAGCTAATAGAGAAGCTGAAGAAGAAATGCAAATTTATGCCGTGGAATTTCTGTTCTCAGAATATGACCATTCATTCTGGAACTCAGCTAGAGTTGACTGAAAAAGAAACACCATTCATAATTTGTCTAGGTGTATGGGATAAAATGGCCTAGAATCTATAATCACCCCCTCCCCCAGGAGAGCATGTAGAGCCATGGGCCGTAAATTCCTCTTACACTTTTTATCTTGCAGGCAATTCAGTACTTCCTCATATGGATTAGGTTGGGGTTTCCCATGCAACAGTGATTTTTCTCTATTGCCATGAGTTGTTTTCCCAGCATGCCTTCTGTGATGAATAATGTCCTTTGAATATATTTACAAAGCCCACTCTGATTATTCCTGGCAATTAGAAAAAAATTACACGGTCTCACAGGAAGAGAAGCTTAGCATTGAAAGGCTCTTAGTGGGTGTCTGGCCCACGCATCTGCCTGATGAAAGGTTTCCGACTAGAACACCTGTCAGGTACTCCTGAGAGGAGCGGTCTTTCCTCAGCCCTAGTCAGGTGCTCATACTTCAAACGGAATCCCATTGGATATTTTGATAACTTAGGTGATAGCTCTCTCTTTGCACCAATAGCTTGAAAAACCGAGCCTAAGGCCAACTTTTCTGCTAAGGAGCTGAAATCCCAGGAGGGCAAGAGTGAGGCTAAAATAACTAAAGCAAGAAGGGAAGGAAAGTGAGTATAAGGTAGTGTGACCATGCTGGCCTCCCTTCCAAAGTCAGCACAGCTGCTTTCTTGGTCGCCTACATCCTCTTTCAGACAGGCCACGTGGTGTCACCATGCCTCGGTACCACCCATGGTGGGCGAGGGAGGAAGAAGGCAAAGGCATTTAAATGCCAGCTCCTCCTTGGATCCTCTTCTCATCTATCCACTTTCATCCTAGGGAGTATTCACTGCTCTGTGCTTCCCAGGTGTGCTGCTCAGTTTGCACTAAGTCCAGAAGTTGACAGAAGAGCTAGAGCCTTTCTGACTACTGCTGGTATGGTTGAGGGGGGACAAGGACAGAGCCAGAGGGAGGGGGAGAGAGGGGGTGTAAGAAGGCACTGCGGGAGAGTGCTGGAGCCCTGCACACTCCCGTAGTCATGAATGACATGCTGCATAATCCATTATTAGGGAGCAGCATGGTAACTGCTCTGTACTGGGCAACTGGATTTCACCTCCTTATCCCTTCTCCACCACAGGGCTCAGAAACTGCATTGCCCAGGCCTTGGAGCTACGGTGGCTCTTGCAGTGGCAGGAGCAAGAAAGGTCAAGGTGGTCAGCCAAAGCCGTCAGGACAGTGTTCTGGATGGGCAACAGGTTATCCGGGGCTGAGGGGCCTGTGGAGCCCCGCCCAGGTCAAGGCACAGTTTGTGTCAAGGCAGGTGGTAGGTGGACCACTGGAGGTACAGGAGGGCACACAGTGGCTGCCGAGACACATTCTTCATATAAGGAAGTTATATTGGCAAAAAAGAAAAGGTGCCACTTGGAGGAGATCTGAATTATAGGAACTTAAAGCCTGTGTAGGCACATTACCTGGGACCATCACCGTCCCTCCTAGCGCTGTTTTAACAAGAATTATGTAAGACGGCAATCCCCACACTTGATCCATCGATGCCTCATAATTGCTCTAATCTAATTTCTACAGCTGTTGGAAATTGTCAAAAGTGCACTCTAATTTTGAACCCAAGTGCATTTTTTGGAAGGTAAGTGGAGGTTCAAAATCAGTTCATGGTAGATTCAGGGAAAGCAAATGCTGTAGGAAAGGTCTACTCCCTGAAGCAGGAAGTCACTGGTGTGAGTTAAATTTCACTGGGGGAGTATTCTCCCTGTCGCTTGCTATTCTACAGGAGGGATCTCAGTCGTCCGGGGTGTGTTTTGCTGTAGAGCAACAGACTTTGTGGACTTGGAGACCCCGCAGCAGGTATGGAATTTGAAAACCCTGCCACCGGGAACCTCAGTAACAGGACATGGAGTATAAGGAAATGGCAGGAAACAAGTCCACATAGGGGGTCAATTTAAAAACCAAGACAAACTATAATATGCTCCTCGGATGTATCCATACTTAAGCTGAATCTCTCATACCTTTGACAACAACAGCCACAGGAGGAAGAAAAATCGGCATCAGAATGATCATTTCGCTCATGAAGCAGGCGTCAGCTCGCTCTTAGCCCTGAGCCTGGCTTCTCAGAGCAAGATGATCATCTGCGAGGATTCTCTCATTAACTCTCCACTGTCCAGATCACTAATGGACTCTATGCTCTTAATTGGCATCACCAGATGTGGTTAGGCAGATGGTGTTAATAATCATAATTATAGTTTTAATCAAGACTATAATAGCAACTGTAATAGCAATTACAATTCATGAGGTCTTCTCTTTGCCAAGGACTATGCTAAGCACTGCATATGAATTGTCTAATACCTTCCAAAAATCTCCAGCAAAACTTGTACTATATCTACTGCCATGATACAGATTTAAAAACAGGGGCTTGGAGCCCTGGCAGGTGTGTCTCAGCGGTTAGAGTGTTGGCTCAAAAACTGAAGGGTCAAAGGTTCAATTCTCAGTTAAGGGTAGGTTGCAGGTTTAATGCCTGCCCAGTCAGTGCTTGAATAGGAGGCAACCTATTGATCTGTCTCTCTCACATCAATGTTTCTATCTCTCTCTCTCTCTCCCCCCCTCCTTTCCTCCCATCCACTCTATCTAAAAAAAAGCAATGGAAAGAAAATATCCTCAGGTGAGGATTAAAAAAAAAACAACAACAGAGGTTTGGAGAGCTGGGAAATTGCAAAGCTGGGAACTGGTAGAACATTGACTGAAATTGGGGTGCTAGACTCCAGAGTCTGAGCTGCTAAGACAGATTGGCAAACCTATGCCTGGATGCATGTTGTCAGTTAAAGAACTTGGAAAGAAAGAGTTACAAAAACACTTATAAAAAGTAACGCCTGAGGATAAACACTTCTGTTTGCTGATCTCTTTCCATATGAGATAAGGGCAACATTGGCACATCAGCAGTGCCCTGTGCAAGGTTTGATTCTGCTTGATGGCCATCAGCCACTTCAATACCATCACCACCTTCAGTGAATGAGCAGGTTATATACCTGCATTTGGCAGGTTAGGCTATGATAGGACGAGAAGAAGCAGAAGTGAAATTGAGAGAGAAATGTTTTTTTTCCTTTGTGGCAAAGGCCCACTGTATTTTGATCAGTAATTCCAAAACTTCAGCTTACATAAGGCAACTCACTGAAAAGATAATTGTGTTTTCTGACTCAGAGAATTCAGCATTAGGCTTCAGGGAAAGCAGAAATTCAATTTGAATGCAGGACAAAATAGAGGCAAGTATCATGATCCCCTTTCTCCCTTTGCCCCTGCTTTTCTCTGTGTTACCTTCCTTAGTCTTTCTCACTTCTGAGAAACTCTATCTACAGCTAAGAGTTCCTAAATACAGCATCCTTGAAAGCTTCCATCCCATTCCTCACTCTTAGGGAAGAATGCCGATTGGCCCCGTTGGGTAAGGTGCCAGAGCAATTAACTACAGACTTGTTTCCTGCAAGCTTTGCCTGGATGGGGTCTAACTCCAAATTTCCTCCTAACTGAGCGTACCAATTAGTGGGAATAGCCTCCCCTAGACATCTGAGGTTTCTGGACACAGCTGCTCTGTCTCCAGGGCCTCCAAGTCTGGGTATTGCCAACCGATGCTATCACCCCGCTTCTCTCACCAGCACTGCTGCAGAGAATGCTCACAACACACCACTCTTGCCCCAGCTTTTCTGCCAAAAGCTCTGTAGCAAACAACAAAATTAGAGATTGCATTTTGTCATTTCCCCATAATGTTTCTATGGGACAAGATGAAGAGCACTTGTCTAGTAAAAAAAGGAAAGGAAAGGAAAGGAAAGGGAAAGGGAAAGGGAAAGGGAAAGGGAAAGGGAAAGGGAAAGGGAAAGGGAAAGGGAAAGGGAAAGGAAAGGCTGAGAAGATATCAGGGAAAGTACAGGAGAACTGGTAAGGTCTAGTAACAGTTGTGTGCCTGGTAAGACGCTGAGCATGGAGTTTCAGTCCTCTCTCGCTCTCTCACTTACTCCTTTTCTTTTGTCTCCCTGTCCCTGCAATGGGCTCTTGCATTCTTTGAGTTGATTTTCTCTGTCAACATTTAGTGAAAATAAAAGGAGAAACATTCCTTTCATTCTCTTAATTGTGATTCCAAGCATTATTTTAAAATTGCTCAAGTAGTTTAGGGAAGAAGGTTTCAGATTAGCGGACAACGTATTCATATTTAAAACCAATAGTACTGAATTACTTAGCATGGTTATTTTTTTTTCTGTAAAAAGGAGACTGAACAAATGTACCACACATTTTTGTTCCTCTGGGACTTATTATAATACATGGGCATTTAACTTGTGCAAGATGATAATGCTGCAAGACAATGTCATCTGACAGGGACAGCAGACATCTTTATGAGAATACTCCGCAGATTGCTTAGTGCATAACGGAAATTATTGTTACCTAATTATAGTGAGCTTTGGAATAGGAACTGGAGGATAAACTAGTAAAGAAAGAAAACAGGGAAATCAATGTGCTTTTTCTTACACAGGAAGCCAGAGAGAAAATGCAGTGGAGGATCTTTGCTGATCCAGCAAAAGCATGTGATATATTATGATGTTTCTAGACATTTATATTTCAGGCCAATAAAAAAGCAATCACTGAGGAAAATGTAGTAACCTTGGTTTGTGTAATAATGTTAAAATATAACTTTCATCCACTTTTGGTTTTCTGCCCATACGCAAGATTTTGTCTAAGCCTACATGTGCCTCTTTAAGAAATACAGTCTACAGCCAGCTGTGCTATTTCCATAGCATCAGGGTTTTGCCTAATTAAATAATAATATGTCCAACAAGCCAGGAAAATATCAGAGAATTCTTGAGGATGCCAAGGAGATTGACAGTCCTGTGACCCGGCCCATTATCATCAGCGCCTAATGAATGGCTCTGCATTTTCCTGGCAGCATCACTCTGCTGGAGGTTAAGCCCTTCATTGTATTTTTCCATGTACTCCATCGCATAAAAATACATTGTGCCTGGCCCCTGCTGCTGGGAAATGTATTCCACCAGCGCACAGGTTTGAGCAGAGCATTCTCTGTAGCAGACCTACCTCCAATTTACATGCAGACCAGTTGCTGAGGACCCAGCTGTAGCAGGGGGTCACCGGGCAGGCTTTCTGCTGGGTGAGCTCTGGGGGGCACGGCCGTCCTTCCCCTTGAGTTGGCAGCATGATAAATCGAGTCCGGCTCATTCGACCTAAAATGTTAAGGAAGATGTCAACTTTTCAGGTGGAATTTGGCTTAGAAAGGGAACTGAAGGACAGGATGTTGCCTTACATACATTAAGTCTTCATTGAAATACACCAACCTCTGTCAGCTTTCAGTTTTTCTGCCATTTTAATTTAAGTTTCTACAGAGACACAGGTTATCTGCGTAATGCTTAGGGTCTGAAATTCTGTGACTTCTACTCCCTCAGTGTTCCCAATTACAAACTCTGTATTGTTTTCAAATAGATTGATCCTGTAAACACGGGCAGAATGCTAATTCATTCAACAAATATTTGTTTGCAGTAGCATCCTGCTGTGTGAAAGGATACAGTAATGACATACAGGAGTACCTTCAGCCCTCACAGAACTTATATTTAGGCCAGGATTACTAATATTAAAAATAGAGACAATTACATCTTCTTTATCTGTTAGGTTCCAAATTATCAAGTAAGGTAAAAGTTGCACACAATCTGAATTACCCTGGAAAATTCCTTAGGAAGGTGCTATCCCAATGGCCCAATAGTTTTTCTCAATTCATTCAGCATGGCTAATTTTCTTAGAGTTTAAAACCAGTGTTTTCTTGTGTGTGTGTGTGTGTGTGTGTGTGTGTGTGTGTGTGTGTGTGTGTTTTTCACTGAGCACAGGGTAAAGTTGTTGCTTTATGTGAAGGAGCCATGATGTTTAAAAAACACGTTCAAATTTCGGTATTCTATTTCATAATTTAAAAATTGGTTAATAAGTGTAACTGAGGAAAGAGCTCCCATGTCAACTTATGCCCACTCCTAGGCATTAGATCATAAGCTCTTTAGTTGGAATTGTGAATGGAATTTAAGTGTCTATGTCTCTCTCTCAATATCTCTCTCACTCACTCTTTACTTGTCTTTTACTACTGAGGTACTATGTGTATGTAGTGTCATTACCATTATATTTGTGACTATAATGCCCTTCCATTCTTGTTATAAAATTATGTATTTGTGACAAAATATTCAAGAACAAACCGAGGGTTCTATTAGAGAACATTATAGGGATGCAGCCCATTCTGGGATGGAATCAGAAAGCATTTCCTTGAGCACTTGAACTTCAAACAGAAACTTCAAGTAGTGCAAGCCAATATGATCCTATGCAGAAGAAAGAACATGTGAGGAGGTCATGAGATGAAAGCAGTAGAATATGTTTGAGGACCTGACCGAGGCCAATGTGGCTGGAACACAGAGTCAGGGAAAGAACAGGTTGAGACAGTAGCTGGTAAAGCTATTATAAGGGGGGTATTTTAGTCAATTCCAAAAAAGTCTGCATTTGTATCTTAAGAGAAATGAAAAGCTAGTGAATTCTACACCTGTAGAATTCAGGTGTTGGGTAAGATTTCAGGCCCTGGGTAGGAACAATTCTCACATGCTCTCAGGTTCAGAGATAAGCAAGCATTGCAGCATTATTCACACTTTCAGTGGGCTAGGCATTTTACTGGCCTCTGGAACATTATCATAGATTTGGTGATAAACTAATGACCCTTGAAGAAAACCAGGAAGTTCTAACCACTGAATTCTAAATTCCTTGGGGTTTGGGCTTCTGTCCCTAACATGGTGTTTCATATATAAAGAGCGCTAATTATATTTTTGTTTAATTCATATATTCATAAATTATCTCCATATTATCTGGTATCAGCAAATGTGTGATAATATAATAATACCAATACAATTATTGAATATTTGCTAATTCTAAACACTTTATAGACACTGATTCATTTAATAATCATAACAACCTTAGAGGAAAATTCTATTCCCATATTATAGATGAGAAAACTTAGGCACAGTGTAAGTCACTTGTCTAAGGTCAAAAAATGAGTAAATTGAAGAACAGAATCAAATTCAGATGTATCTTTTGATACAGAGTTTGATGTATTATTAGACATGATGCTAGGGAGACACAGGTAAGACAGCTAATACAGCAAGGATAGTACCAAAAAAGATGTAAAAGAAACTTTAGAGATGATAAAATTGTGTCAAAGATAAAATGGGTTTGGTGAACAATAGAATCCACCCATTCTTCATTCTTGGGCACTGAGTGGAGCATATCTATTTGTTCTTCCCAGCATCACTCAAATCAAATCATATAGGTCGGACATCACCTCATTCATGTGACATGTTATCTCTGCTTGATAAACATGTTTTGCTCAAGATTTTATATTAATTCATGCTTATACACTCTTTAGTATTAACCCTTATGCTTATGTTCTTGACCTAAATACTCATTACCTTAATGTCATAATTGTATTTTGTTCTAGGTCCACCTTTGTAAGAATAATGATGATGTAGTGTTACCTTTATCATAGCTAAAGAGGCTCTATTTCATTATAACCAAATAACTTCAAGCTTGTTCTTGAATTGATGTCATGTGGATGGCCATTATTATAAAACTATTTTATTTATCCCCATTAAAGTGACAGATATCTTCTCCTGGACATAGGGGTGGAGGGAACCTGCCTAATGGATCTGATAGGAAAAAAAAGAATAATGCTGTTATTTTTTGAAGTAAGGTACTCTTAAAATCATTTGTTGACTGATAGATATATGAAAAGATGTCCAACCTCACTAGCAATTAGGGAAATGCAAACCAAAACCAAAATGAGATACCACCTCACACCTGTTAGAGTGGGTATTATCAACAAGACAAGCAATAACAACTGTTGGAGAGGTTGTGGAAAAAAGGGAACCCTCATTCACTGCTGGTGGGAATATAGGTGGTACAAGCACTATGGAAAGCAGTCTGGAGATTCCTCAAAAAAAATTAAGAATAAAGCTACCATATGAACCAGCTATTCCTCTCCTGGGTATATACCTGAAAAACTCAAAATCATTCATTCACAAAGATGTATGCACCCCTATTTCATTGCAGCATTATTCACGGTGGCCAAGACATGGAAACAACCAAAGTGTCCTGTGATCGAGAATTAGATAAAGATGTGGCACATATACACAAGGGAGTACTATTCAGCCTAATAAAGGATGAAATACTGCCATTTGCAACAACATGGATGGACCTTGAGAATATTATGTTAAGTAAAATAAGTCAGTCAGAAAGAGCTAAGAACCATATGATTTCACTCATATGTGGGATATAAAACTGAAACTCGTGAACGCAAACAGCCATGTGGTGGTTGCCAGAGGGAAGGGGGTAGGGGGTGGTGGGGGTCCTTATATATGGTGATGGGGAAGATTTGACTTTGGGTGGTGGGCACATGGTACAATGTACAGATCTTGTAACATAGAAACCCACACCTAAAACCTATATGATCAATATCACCCCAATAAATTTAATTGAAAAAATAAATTTAAAAATAAAACCATATTTAAAGAACAGCCAAATTATTTTCTACCTTTTACTATCCAATCACAAAGATAATATTTTCAAACAATGCTAATTACTTCCAAGGACATATATTTTAAACCAAAAAGCATATAACAATCCTACATTTTGAAGTATGTTATATTTAATTATCTAATATTAAAGGTCAGTTAAAATTTGCTAATAAAAGAGCAAGAGTCTAATAGGCAACTCCTGGCCCTGATGTTTCTGCGGGGTACTTGATGGCTTTTAACATGTTCCTTTTTCTTTTTGCATCAGGGATATTTGGTTGTATAAATTAAATAATTGGAGAAAGTGCCCGTCAAATTAGATACTCTTTCACAAATCCCGAAGTTGTAAATATAAATGTGTCTACATGGACAGTATAACAAGGAGGCCTGCCATCTCCAATGACAGTGGTTAAATACTACATGGGATTCCAAACAGAGTGGATGAATATTCGACCAAACTGGCTCTCAGCAAGGCTGTTCTAAAAGGGACCCCTGATAGCAGGGATTGTTCTGGTGACAGTAAGTTTTAATGTGAGTGGGGAAACAGTGGAAGTTGTTGCCAAATTAAACATATTGTAAAATGTGATATAATATAGAATATTATAGAAAGAGAATGTTAAAATTAGTTGATGTGTGGTGAAAAGAAACCAGGACTTGGCATCAAAATTCTCTATTTGGAAGCAGTTCTCGCAAATTAACAACTAGGAAATGATGTGACTGCATGAAAGTGCTTTAACTCCTCTGAGCGTAAATTCTCTCTTCTGTAAAATAAAATTAAATATACAGAAACTCCTTATTATCTGAGGATAATTCATGCTGGGGAAAATGCCACTTAAAAGTGAATCTATTTAAAATGGGAATTAAATTATTTTAAATAAATAATAAAAGGTCTAAATGGGCCATTTTCTGGAACTAAAGAGTTTGCAAGTGGGTTTATTTGATCTAATATAAACGACTCTGCAGGTTATAATTGCAACTATGCACTCATTAGGGAAAAGAATAAATCAGCTATGGATATTTCTTTCATAATTTTATGATTACCCTATAAAAAGAATCATTGTTTTATGACTGGCTTGAGCAGTTTGATTATAGCATCTTTTGGCCTTTGAGTCACTTTTCATCAATTTTCTCAAGAGCTCCCTTTAATCTCTGGTGTAAGGATCACTCTATTTTGTACTTCATTTGCAACTAGAGATTGACAAACAAATACCCTGATGCAATGACAGCACATGTGTGTCAATGAGGATGTTTGTGGCCTGGGGGATGGCTTTATAAGGGGTCAGTTCACTGGTGATTCAGATGGACTCCTTACACTTATCTCACACTAATTACATGAATAAAACATATATAAACCACATGTAAAATATAGAAGGTACTTGTTAAAATTTTTAATATTTTTAACTATTTGTTTTAACAACTATTTCAATCAATTCTGAGAATAAGCCTGTAATGGTTATATAAAGCCTGCTATCCATATTCTATTGGGTTTATAATACTAAAAGCACATGAATATGAATTCCATAATAACTCAGCCTGTTCCCAACCTACCAGACCCCTTACATCCTAGGCTGAACTGCTTTGCCCTCCAGAGTGAAGGTTGCTGACGTATGTATATCCTCATGTTTCCAGGCAGTGGG